TCCTCCCCTACCCCTCCCATCAAAGTTGTAAAGTTCATTTTTCGACATAACGACTTGTACATCTCATTGTTGCAATGGGTTCACCTGTATCCCTAATTAAATGATTTTTTCCCCTTCCCCTCCACAAATTATACCAACATCAGATTCAGTGAAAGCAGGGGTTATATCGTGGGGAAGGGACATACAAAGCAACAAAGAAATCATCTTATAAATATGTTAGAAACAACTGCATGAAAGCAAAAACATTTGAATACTTATCTTGGGGTTCATTTCACTTAACATCAACTTATCTGACCTTTTCTGCTTGTCTCAGACATATACTAGTTATTGCAAATAAGGGAAACCATGGGACCTATGTTTCTTTGGGCTTGGCTTACTTCACTTAATATAATTTTTTCCAAGTCTTTCCATTCTGTAACAAATGGGGCAATTCACAAATAAAATTAAATTAAATTTAAAAAAAGAAAATGCAAATTAAAAAAAAACAAATGGGGCAATGTCATTCTTTCTGATGGAGGCATAGAATTCAATTGTGTATATATACCACATTTTCTTGATCCATTCATCTACTGAGGGGTATCTGGGTTGGTTCCATATCTTAGCTATGGTAAATAATGCTGCATTAAACATAGTTGTGCTGGTAGCTTTAGTGTGGTCTTGTTTGTAAACATTTGGGTAAATGCCCAAAAGTGGGATTGCTGGGTCATAGGGGAGCTCTATGTGGAGTCTTTTGAGGAACCTCCACACTACTTTCCAAAGTGGTTGAACAAGTTTACACTCCCACTAATAATGCAGTAAGGTTCCCTTCTGTCCACATCCCCTCCAGCAGCTGTTGTTATTAGAGTTCTTGATTATAGCCATTCTAACTGGGGTGAGGTGGTATCTCAATGTTGTTTTGATTTGCATTTCTTTTATGGCTAGGGAGGTTGAGCATTTCTTCATGTGTGTATTGGCCATCCTTTCTTTTTTTTTCTTCTTTTTTCTCGGTTGTGGGGTTTGAACTCTGGGCTTGGGCGCTGACCCTCAGCTCTTCAGCTCCAGGCCAGCTTGAGCCACAGCTCCACCTATCCTTCTTTCTTTTAACCATAATTTAAGATATACCATGGTAAAGGAATAAAAACCATTCATACAAGAGAAGAGACTTTAAAACTGAGTAAAGTTAGATTTATTTTACTGTGACTCACAAATAGGAATCTACAGAGTTTTGTTTATAGAGATTTATAATACATATTCCTAAATATATGAAATGTGGACAAGCAATGCCTATTAAACTATATAGTGGAAATGAAAAGGGAATAGTTATTGGTTCCAAACAAGCTTGCCTCTAAGTTAATGTTAGGAAGAGAAAGGAGCATTCTATATTTATATTTGAGTCAAACCGATTCATATCTGCAGAATGTGGCCTTTAAACATACTGCTATATTAAATGTGGACAGGACTTATTTAGCACTTTACTTACATTCTAGATTCACTGATCTTTCACATGCAGATTTTAATCTTACCAAATGACTTCTAGTCTACTTTGCTTTCTTAGAATCATCAGCCTGTATTCAAATTCACTGTTTTCAAGAGAAGACAAGTGAGAATTTGTAGAAAGAGAGCCTTCCATCTAACAGCTAATGAGAGAGTAAGAGCTCTGTGTTGTGGTCTGCTCCAATCTAGAGTAGTGTTGTCTGCCTGAGTTGACAGGAAAAAAAAGAAAGGTGTCTGATTTCAAATATCACAGATCCTTTTTACCCTTAACAAATCTTAGTAAATTTTCCTAGAGAAATATTTCTGCAAGATGGTCATGGTGGCTAAGTCCTGTAATTCTACCGCCTCTGGAGGCCAAGGTCAGGAGGACTACAGTGCAAAGCCAAGCCAGAAAAACTAATTAGAATGACCTACAGTTGGATATGGTGGCACACACCTATCATTCCAGCTACTGGGAAAGTGTAAATAAGAGAACTGTAATCATATTGGTCCAGGTGAAACACAACTAAAGCAAATTAGCTAAGGAGTCAAGACTCAAGGGGTAAGTGTGAGGCTGGGTCGAAGAATCAGTACCACCAAAACATAAAATACATTCTGCATATGTTTAGAACCACCCTCAGATACCTTAAGTGGTTATTGTTAGAATTTTCACCAGGAAGCAGATAAGTGGGACCCCTCCCTGGACACTAAAGTGGAGGTGGAAGTTTTTCTTGAGTTGTACCTTAAGGATTGTCTTTGAAGTATTTGCTTGGTTGTTTTCACTTAAAAAAAAAAAAAAACAGACTTGAATATTCCTTGTCCACAATGTTTGGTACCAGGAAGGGTTCCATGGGACATTTTGCAATTTGGAACATTTGCATAAAACATGAGATACCCTGGAGATGTGGCCCATGTCAAAACACAAAATTCATTTGTTCCTTATACATACATCGCCTAAAGATAATTTTAAACAATTTTTACAATTTGTGGCATTTTGCCAGTTCCCATCACATGAAGTCAGGTGTGGAATTTTCCTCGTGGCATGATATTAGTGTTCAAAGTTTTGGATTTTTCGAACATTTTAGATTTCTTAATGAAAGGGTATTCAACCTGATTGTATGTGCTAGCTAGACTTCTTTTACCCATCATCCATTCAAAGTATATTTCTGCTCATGATTTTTTTTCTTTTTCTCATTTCTCTTTTTTTGTTTTCTCCCTACAACATTCTATGAAATTGCATGTTACTTTACTTCTTGGGTTCCATGTAACTTACTCTTTATTTCTGTTAAAAAATGTTGTTCTTTTTCCTTTAAGTGACTTCCATTATATTTCATTATCGTTCTTTGTATTTTTCAGTTTTCTTTTTCACATCTCAAAATGCTTGCTTGCTGATATTTAATTCCATTTAGAATGTTGGGTTATAGTTATTTTCTTTTTCCAGATCTTCACTCTACTTAAGGTTTTCTTTATGGTAACAGAGTTATTTTATGGTTATTGAGTTTTTGTTAGTTTACTTCTTTGGGGAGGAGGAGGAGTAAAGGGAAGTTGTTTCTTGTGTCTCTTTTTAATTCCTACAGGTCCCTCCTCCATATCTTCAAATTCCTTTTTTTATTTTTTTCTTTATGAGTCCATTGCTAAGGAGAACTGTCCCTCCTTTAATATATCTGACTCTCATGGACGCAATTCTTGTCAGAGGCTACTAATTAGTTTTCACTGCTTTTCAAATCAACATTTCCCTGTATCTTGTGTTATTCTATTTGAGCTACTTTCTCCTGATTTTTGTTCAGTATTTTGGCATTTTAGTTCAGTTTCCTCTTATTTGCACATCTGAGTTTACCATACCCCATCTAACTCAAGCCTTTATTCCTTACTCTAGGTAAAACAAGTTATAAAAGTAAAAAGGGCAAAGGAGACTGAGGATTTATCTCTGGGAACTTATGGTACTATTCTTTGCCTTCTAGTCATGCTGAAGAGACAGGTGAGATGTAGTTTATTTCCTCTGCTTATTCATTTGACAATTACTTTTGAAACACTAAAGAAAATCAGGCAACTGTCATTGTCCCCCAAAAGTCCTTTGTAAGAAAGCTTTTAATTATGGACTTAATCTCTTCATGAAAAATACGATATGTCACTTTTTCATTTATTGTTAATGTCAGATTGCCAGTTGTATTTTTCTATATTGTTTTCATGTATACTTTCAAGCTCATTGCCATAATACTATTTTTAATATCTTGTTACTATATTTCATATAGCATTAGGAATAAATCAAGACATTATTCTTATAGCTTTAATATGTGACTTCTCTTTTTTCCCCTTAATTACTCTTTTCAAAAACTGCTCTAGTTTATAAAATACTGTGATTTTTGACACTTCTCCCATCAAAAGGTGATCTTTGTGTATTTTTCTCTAGAATCACTGCTTGTTATTAACTCCAGCAATGACATATGGCAGGCATGATGCTACATGAATTCTGAGGCTAGATTATAAAATGACTTTTAGCTTCCTGCTGGTTCACTGGGAATTGTTACTCAAAGGGAAGTTAATTGTCATGTAATAAATCTGATTTGTTATATAAGTGGACCATTATATTGGAAAAGTGGTAAAAAGAAAGACAAAATTATAATCATGGAGGCAACAAACACACAGACCAAGAAAAGCAACCACAAACCTCCTCACTAGGTTATCCAATGCCCACTCTGTGCCCTCACAACTCATACCTCATTTCAGTATACCCATAAATACATGGTTTAGAAAGAAAAGAGTTCAAATAAGAGATGTTACACATAAAAAACAGAAATCTACATGTAACAGATAGGGCTGTCAGGAGTCCAGTGGATGTTTCCTGTACCTATATGTCAATAACTGAGATCTGATATAAATTTTGTTAAATAATTTGTTCCCTATTCCAACTTTGCATTAGCAGGGAGCAATTTAATTTTAATATGTGATGCCAAAATACCTCTAGACCTCTAACACATGAAAATGTTGTATTCCTAACCATTTAAAGACAAAAAAGGAATATCTACAGATGAAGGGAATTTCAGACACCTAGTATAATGCCTAGACTAAAGAGGTGCTCAGTTAAGATTTATCAGATAAGTAGGTACTGACCAGGTAATTTCAAATACCTTATCATCAGAAATCAATTTCTGGTCTAACACACAAGCATGATATGCAATAAAGTTACTGACCTATTAATTTATATTCTTTGAAACTGTGGTCCTCAAAACTGCATGCACTTTTTAAAGAGAAAATTAATAAACTAGTTTTCTTCAAAACTAAATTAAAATGTCACAACAAAATCACTAAGAAAAAAGAAACAAAATATTTTAGTTTACTATGAAAAAATTGGAATGGTTTTAACAGTTACATAGAGTTCACTACTGTAACTTATAATTTTGTTTTTGGTCAATACTGGGGGCTTGATCTCAGGGCCTTGCGCTCGTGGATCAGTTTTCTTGTTTAGAACTGGACTAACACAATTTTAGAGTGGTATACATTACATGTAAAATCAGCAAACCAATAAAATAATATGTGGAAAAACCTACCAAATCCAGGAACACTTTTGAGACTGGCTTTGAGGCAAATTTTCTCCAATCTGAGGTAGCTGTATCTTGTGAGACAATTCCACAGGAACATCCAATCTACTCTTGTCCGATGGTTCATGATAATTACACTTCTTTCTCCAGGGACAAATGCATCACCTGTAATAACCACTTTTACACCAAATATGGTCTCCAACAATGCCTAAAAAACAAACAATGCAACAAATAGCAAACTAAAGTTATGCCTTTCCTAGCCCAATTTTATCATGTTCTAATATGTCTTATGATTTCTAATATATAAAAACATATTTTCTCATAATTCTTGTTCTGATAATAAAAGAGGGAAACATTAAAAGAATGAGCCTATGAAGTACTATTTATGTTTTTAAGTTCTACTAATTTAAATCTGTGGCAGTTTTGTAATAGAAAAATGTTAACTGTCCTTGATATCTTCAAGATATATTAAGTTAAAAAGACAAAAGTGGAAAAAGTATACAAGAAGATACTATGCAATTTTTTAAAGATCTAGATAGTTAAGACTACCACTGATTTTTCTAGATAGTCAAAGATATAACAGTGAAAACAGTGCTAAAGAAAAACAAATATTCTCGGCAAATTATCTTTTGCCATCAAAACCAAAGCTGTTTTATTTCACTAATAGATGACTAAAATACTGTTTGTCTACCCTAATGCTGCCATCCTACTACTTCCAACAGTGCTTGGCACACAGCGGATGTTTAAATATTTGCTGAATTTGCTCCATTAACTTTTCAAATAGCTAAAAATATAATATATATGAAATACTTGAAGCAAAGCATATTATAGGCTGGGGTTCTTAAAAGTAAAAAACAGACAATATGAATACTTGATTAATTCAATGTGTTTTTAAAATTGTTTTATTTTTAAATCATTTATTAGAATATAAAAACAAAGTTCTCTTAGGTTCATATCATGGTTACCTTTCTAAATAAACTGTGAAAGTAAATGAATTATAGGTATGAAAAGAAACACAGGAGATACAAACAATGCAGAATGCAGCAAGACAATCAAAAAAAGATCTTATACAACAAATATATATATGTAAAGCTTTCTAAAACAATGGGATACTTTACAAGCAAATATATGTACATATGACCATATAAGATGATGCTAAGCGAAATAAACTCTAAGACATGAACACAAGAGGTTTTCCCTTGATATTGTTGTTCTTAACATACTACATAATTTCTTTTTTCTTGTCTATCTTTTTTCGCCGTATGTTTTATCCCCTGTTGTCACTGTATTTTGGTTTTGGTACCCTGCATATTGTATATACCTTTATCAGAATTAGGGAAGGAAAGAGAACAAAAGAAAAAAAGTGGCTAGACAAAGGACAAAGGGGGAACCAATGCAACAGTGATACTCACAAGACGATATGTTGGAAATGATCTGTACAACTTGGGGAGACTGGGGAGAGGGAAAGTGAGAGAAAAATGAAGGAGAGGGTAACAAGTTTAAGAAGAAATGTACTCTCTATCTTACTTATATAACCGTAACCCCTATGTCTATCACCTTGACAATAAAAATTTTTTCAGTATAAAAAAAAAACAACAAGAAAATAAGTACTTTTCTAAAGTCATGGCAGTTGCTTCTTCTTACCAAAAAAGAGGGCATTTTGACTGGGTGCTACCAACAGCTTAATATGCATGGAACTCCCTTCAAAATGCATACAAGTACATGTGAGTATGTACACAAGCACTCTACTAATCAGGCCTGTTAAGTTATATAACTTCTAGTCTAAAAAAGTCTCTAGAAAGTTGGAGCAGAAGATGGCATAGACTTCTAGACTCTGACCTACAACAAAAGTATCTTTTTCTACTTTTAAGCATAAAGGATCATAACTACAAAAGCACATTGGTAAATTACACCTTGGCCCAGAGGGTATGTATGAAGTCATTATGTAATATCAATCTGGATGAACTCTGCTCCATTTTCCAAATGTGATTTTTTTCAACATTTTTAAAGAACTGAAATGCAGAATGCATTAGCTTAATTGGAAGAAGCAAGAAGTTAACTATTACATGTTCCACTAAAAAGAGTTATTTGTAAAAGCTTAAACACCCCAAACTTTAACTCCGACTCCAGATGTACAATTTCTAAAATGCAACTCCAATCGATACCAAACCATTTTTTTGCACTCCATTACAGAAAATGTAAAAAAATATCCAAGACTATTTGAATAGGAACATCACATGACTTTCTATCCCTTGATATCTAGCACTCTATCAGAATGTGACTTGAAGTTATTAAGCAGCCTAGATCTCAAGTTCACCATAATCATTTTTAATATCAGACAAGATATATCTAGTCAACATTATTTATAGCACCTACAAAGGCAGAATAATAAATAGCACTACAAGAAGTAAAATTATCATGTCTATAAAGAATACAGAATTCAAAATAATCCAGATTAAGGACTAGAACAAAGATAAATATTTTCATACATTATAGATTTGCTTTGTTTCTAGTATAGAACAGCATAAAAAAAAACTAGTATGAATCTTCCAAGATGTTGTGATGCTTTTTTTTTTTTTGGTGGTCATGGGGTTTGAACTCTGGGCCTGGGCACTATCCCTCAGCTCTTTAGCTCAAGGTGAGCATTCTACTACTTGAGCCACAGTGCCACTTCTGGTTTCTCTAGTGGTTTATTGGAGATAAGAGTCTCACAGACTTTCCTGCCTGGACTGGCTTTGAACCTCAATCTTCAGATCTCAGCCTCCTGAGTAGCTAGGATTACAGGTGTGAGCCACCGGCATAACTTTCCTACAAACATGGAAGCATTTTCTAAGATACTTTACGTATTACCACTTGCCCAAGTGTTTCACGCCCTCATAATAAAGACATTCAGTTTTGCCATCATGCCTACTGTTCTCATTCAGCACTTCAATGAATCTTCAGTCTAACCTAAGAACAACTCCATGATATTCCTCTCCAGGTCTGCTTTGGCTTTCTGGCTTAAATTCAGTCCAGCTTTCTATATAAGGCCTTACAATCCTAGGCTTTCTCCAAAGACTCAGCACCTACTTTGTTAAAAGGAACAATCTATTAGATTCATCAACCTGTTTATTGAACATCTATTTTGTTTTAGGGCTAAGTAGTATCAGCAGACTGTGAAGACTTATGTCTGAGGAAGTTAGAAAATGATTTCTAAATTACTTACTCCCGATTTAAATAATTAAATTCCAAGTAATTTTTTGTTTGTGCTGGTATTGGGGCTTAAACTCAAGGCATTGGGCTCTGTTCAGCTTTTCAGTCATGATTGGCTCTACCCCTTGAATGATGGTTCTAGTTCTGACTCTTTGCTGCTTTACTGGAGATAAGAGTCTATTGGATTTGTCTACAGAGCCTGGCTTCAAATTATGATTCTCAGATCTCAGCCTTCTGAGTATCTACAATTATATGACTACCAATCAGTACATGGCTTTCTAAGTAATTTTTATAATTCAGAATTTAAGCCTGGTAATATAATCCAAAAATAAGGGCTTGGTAGAGTACTGGCTTGGATCCCTAGTGCCACAAAAAACAACTATCCAAAAACAAAATGAACAAAGACATGCCCATTATATAAATGTTCAAAGATAGGATGGTCACTCTGCAGATGGACAAAGGATTCCTGTGCACACAGGCATGTTGAACTAGGTAATCTCTCAGTCTTAACTAGACTTCTAATACTGCTGATTTTATTACTACATATCATTTAACAAAGCAAACATGTTCCTTAAAAATTGTCATACAGGAAATCCTGCCAACCAAATCATTTTTATTTACATGAGAAACTTAGAACAAAAGAAACAACTGCTTTATTTCACAAAGATTTTTCTTTATAAAAGTATCACTTCTAATTTATTTTTGGGAAAGAATATTATTGCCTAAAAAAGTTTATGGAAGAAATATAAATTTTAGATTAAATTCCTTTTTAAAAATGTGCTTAAAAATGAAAACTCTTCTAGCACCATGTAAAAGTATACAATAAAACATGATAGAAGGTATCTTCACAGTTTTACTTTTTCAACAACACAGATATTCACTAATTTAAAATGTTAAGTAAGCTTTTCTGTACCCTCCCTATGGAGTTCTAATTCTATAAATTCCTTAAACTGAAGGATTCGCTCAGCTTGATTTTGTGACTACTTAACATTTTCTCAGGGTTTTCTTTCTCCTTTTTCTTTTCCATTTTCTCAGATCAGGTATTTCCCAGCTTGAGTGAACTTAAAACTTTCTTAGTTAGAAGCATTTATGAAATTCCACTGGTTCTTATTCTATTATATAAACCTCTTTTATGACTGGACAGACTGGATGTAATATCAACTTTTATTAAATAATTTGCTTACACAAGTTTCTAATTCCTCTTCTGTAAAATGGGTGTAATAGTGGCAAATGAAACAAAGCCACCCTCCTTAGTGCATATGCGCACAAGTAATCTCAGCTATTACCATCATTGTTACCCCAAAGTTACCTTGTTAACAAACCTTTCTAATTCTTCTCCTTATATTTGACTTAAATATGAAGCTGTACTGTGGTTATTTATTATCTAACACCATGCCAGCACCCCTCTCTTTGTGCCTGCAGAGCAGACAGCTTTAAGTGCAATTAGAGGAAAGAGCAAGGAGGGCAAATCTGGAGGAGGGACAATTTAGAAGCATCACATTTCATAAAAGATATATCTGAATAAAAAATTTAAAACATAAATAACTTTTAGCAAGGGATGAATGCAGTTTGTAAAAATCACTCACTTCAGGATTCACTTTTAAAATTAACTTATTATAGAAACCCTTATAAAACAGTAGTCTATCAAGGTAGAATGAGAGTTTCTGGAAATAGACCCCAATCAACCTCTTCATAAGAGGTCTAGAATGGTATTTCCTTCACTACACACATCATATTGACTGTGGCCTGGGGAAAACAGGTTAAAGAGATCCTTCATCATATTTTGAATGTACTTGGACCTTACTTACATTAATCTAGACAGATAGGAAACCACTTAGGAAATCATTTGGTTTCTAAATTTTGTGTGTGTCTAAATTCTATGATTACTGGAAAGAAATCAACATCAACATTAAAAGTTTACTATATTAATCTCTTGTTACTGTTTTATGAAATACAAAATTGAAATGCAAAATAAAATTAATGATATAAAAAAATCTTCACCCAATACCTTAAAGATTTATATGTTTTACTATACATAAAGTATACTACCATGTAGGAAATATTTTTTGAAGTTCATGAAACATATAGAAAGAAGCTCTTCATTTTCAATATGGTTCAAATAATTTATTAGGTATTTTAAAGACATAAACTATCTTTATTTCTCTCTAGCTTTTCTATTTTCCACTGTAAAGTCTAACATGTTTTTTATATAACATGAAGGACTTCTTCTACAACTCTAATATGACTCTAACAAGGTAAAATAAATGAACTGGATACCTGGGACAAGCACCTGTGTACCATATAACTTACCACAGGTAGTGTAAGCCAGGTGGCTACAAGGCGATTGCTGATCCAGCGATACCAAGATGGGTTTATAAACATCAAAGGTATGGTAGGACCCAGCATAAAAATACTTCCAAAAAAGCTTCCTCCAAACAGAGTAAGTATAAAATAAATCCCTTTCCATGACATCATGATTCTGAAAGATATAAAAAAGATTAATTTGAGTACCATACATTTTAACAATCCAAATTCCACATCTCAGTGATGTATAATGATGTTTAACTATACAACTCAACTAAAAAGGCTCAAATAAAGGATACAAAGCTAAATTTTATGGAAGTGACCCTCCAACACGTTCTACCAGTCTAACAAGTTACAAGTACATTAGAAGTTAAAAACTGATATGGAACCAAGGGTTTATTGTTGTCGCCATTGTTTTTGGCTTTGGTTTTTAATGTACTGTGTGAGTTTCTTTTTTCTTTTATTTTTTCCCCCTTTGGTTTATCCCCCGTTGTCACTGTTTGTGTATTTTGGAACCCTGTGTCTCATATATACATTTATCTGATTTGGGGAAGAGTAGGGGAATAACAAAATAGTGGGACAAAGGGTAAATCAATACAACAGTGATAATCACAAGACACTGTGAACTTTACAACTTGGGGGAGGGGGAGAAAAGCCAAGGGGGAGGTAAAGTGGTAGAAAACAAGAGAGGGGGTAAAAATGTAGAAATGTACTTGTTACCTTGCTTACATAACTATAACTCCTCTGATAACATCTTTACAATAAAATAAAACAAATTAGAAATTGATGGTCTCAGCCTATAACCTACTTAGGAGGCCTTAGATCTGAGAATCTCAGTTCAAAGAAATCTTAGAAACTCAACTCCAATTAACCAGCAAAAAGCTGGAACTGGAGGTATAGTGCAAGTAGTAGTGCCAGTTATGAGCAAAGCTGAGCAAAAGCTTGAATACTTAAACTCAAGCCCCCAATACAAAAACAAATCAATACTCTCAACTAAGTAAAAATCTGATCTATGGAAAACAAGTCGTCTAGTAAGAAGTCTTTTTTTTCTTGATTAGTATTTAACATTAAACATAGTAAAAATATATTCTGTAGGGTTGTTGGGTTTTGTTCTGCCTACAGGTAGAAACAATGGGCAGAGAACTGAAGAATGGCTTCCTAAGTGTGAGGATGCTGAGGAGCAATGACAGGGTGGACTAAAATATAATTTGTAATATTATTATTATTATATAGGTAATATTCAGAGGGATTAGTTACATAATTCAGGTAGAGTTTGTGGACAATAACCCTTCCCCTCACTCTTTCCCAGTTTTTCCCTCCTGTTCCTTCCAACTTATATAGTTCATTTTCAGCATTAGGGTCTAGTGAGTACCACTACTGCATTTGTCCCTCCCCCCCCTTCATTCTTTGATTCTAAAATATAATATTTAAAATGTCTAGAATTGTTCATTCTTTGCTTTAACCCTAAAAATAACATTTTTTGGCTCTTGGTCTTAAACTGATTATTAGCTAAAGGGATAAATAGAAGTTAGACCTTCCCTAGCTTTACTGAACTATTTTCCTAGGACTCTTTAGGGGATCCTCACAACTAAAACCTAATGCAAATATTTTAAAAGAAATGGTTGGAAATGCAGTTTAAAATAAACACTAAAATATTTCGATTTTATGATCTAAACTATAATAAAGAAAAAATATATTATACCTCAGGATAATAAAATTATTGAAAATATTACAACCAGGAAAACAATAATGGTCTTGAAATTCATTCATTTACAGGTTACAGAGATCAAGACCTCTGAAATATTTTTTAAAAATCATAGAAATAGAAACAAAAATTTCAAATATAATATTGCTTTTTAAAGACATCAGATAACCAATAGGTCAAATCCCTTATCAACACAGAATCAAGTTTGAGTACCAAGTATATTTTTAAATTTTTACCAATTCTTGACAGCATACACACAAAATTCCCTCAAATATAGACAGAACACATATATATTAAGAACTGACTTTCTGAGGACCTACAGATCTGAATTTTTAAAAAGTGGTAGAAGCAGAAGAACAAAACCCCCCATATACCGGGGCTCAAACGGCCTGTTGTCCCAGGCTTCCTCCACTTCACTTTCTTCTGAAGCTAAGGGCTGCTTCTTTGTATTAAAAGATACCACAGGCAGTTTCTCCCAGTATAATTTAAAGCTTTTTTAAACAGGAGATTAGGGGACAGGAACATAACTTAAATTTAGTATTCTCAACTTCCATTTCTTTTTACACCTTCCCCCTAAAATAAATTCTGCACTCTTTCTACTCTGTAAAACACCTTGTAACTACCTTTTTATATCTGCTGTTTTCTTCTGCCAAGCAACGTTCAGCAGCTCATTTATATACCTGTTCTTCCATCCCTGCAGAACTATACTTTACACTGTATCCACAAATGACAGCCTCCCCCAGATCCCCCAGCAAAGGCTTTGGTATGTGTCTTCCTCATCTACTAATTTCTAATTTGATGTGAGAAGAAAATAAAATATACAGTTACAAGAACTCAGCTATCATCTAATGAAATCTCTTCACTGTACAATTGTAAAGCTGAGGCCCGGGAGCATTAAGATGGCTTCTCTCTAAACACACAGAAAGAGTTAGTAGCTTCTGATCTTTTCACTCTATTGCTTCTCTGACTAACAACATCATGCTATCTTTCTCCTGCTGAAAGGCTGAAAACCAGAGAACTGAGGTAACTTTTAAGCATATATTTAAACACTTACTTGACATACAAAGATACACTGCATGGATATACTACACTGGGATTATTCAGGACAAATCTGAAATTACTTCTCTATCCCTTCCCACCCTTTCACTCATTTATTTTTACTGACTCAAAAAACACACAAAGAGATTCCCTATTATGTGCTTACGCATTGTGTTAGTAGAGGATGTGACAGTAAATATAATAAACATTACTTAGCTTTTCATAAATCTGCATTCAATTTTGTTCATATTTATTTATTTATTTGTCTGCTTAACTGGTAGTACTAAGGACTGAACCAAGAACCTTGGGTAAAAGCACGTACTCTATCATTGAGCTGTATCCACAGTCAAACTGTCACAAATATACTGCTTTCTACATTTCTCCCTTATGAGTTCCTCCCCATCTCTTCATCTAATCTAACCATTTTCAGTATCTTCTTCCAAGTTTCAAAAGTTTGATGAACAAATCAGGTTAGGAATTAGCTACACATGGGGCTGAGGACAGAGTACTTGTCATGAGCAAGGCTGAGTTTGACAGCATCAATGTAAAAAAAAGAAATTAAAAAATAACTAGTTATATACTTATTTGGAATTGTTAACAATTTATAAAATAAAACAAAAAACTGACAATACCAAGCATTGGCAAGGATGTACAGCCACCAAAACTCACACACAGTGCTGATAAGAACACAAAGAATGTGTGTAGCACCTCAGGAAAAGAGTGTGATGGTTTCATAAATGGTGCATCTCTGCTTACCACGTAATCGCGAAATGCCACACTACTAACTACCCAGAGAATGAAAGTTATTATCACATAAAAAGCTCTATATAATTTTTATAGTAACATTATTCATAACTGTCAAAAACCGGAAATAACCCAACTGTCAGTCTGGGGTTCAATACCAAACAACAGGCGAAACAAGAGTACAAGAATTGAGACCACACCTAACTTGCACTTCCTTATTCAGATGCCTATGTTTTTCTTGGAGCCTGATTATGTTGGAGGATACTCTCTGACAAGGGCTGATAGAACCCACTGAGGAAAAGTATGAACTCTGGTATAGGATGCAACCATACCTTATTTCATGGACTCTTCTTATTTTATTCACATAATAAATCATGTGTTAACAACTAGCATTGTTCTCACAGACTAATAGGGAACATATATGCACAAATGAGAGCAAGTCACTAATACAGTGCAATGCCTGCAGAGATTCCACAACTAGGGTGAGATGTAGGGGAAGATGAATTCCTCTGAGATGCATTTAACAAGGCACTATCTTAGAGGACGCATGATTGAAAGGGGAGCAAAGAGAACATTTTAAATGGCAAGGCATAGTGAACTGGGTATTACTAAGATACACCTAAGACCTATTAAGAAACCACAGGCATAGCCCTTGAAAGAAAGTTGTACACACCCAAGTCAGGATGGACAAGATTACCTTTATTATGGAGGAAAACAAACTGAGGCATGCAATTCATTTTTTAGGATAAAAGTGACTTGGTGTATAGTAAGGATAGACTGAATCAATATACAGATTGCTTTTGTTAACAGTCTTTTTTGGACAGTCAATGCATTAGGACTTACTATCAAAAAACCCTCACAACTGAGAGATATGTGATCCAGGACAAACAGTCTCAACAACTGGAATACTCAACACCAAGCATCATACCACAGTGCTTAATCTGTATACTTCATCTATGTAAAGTAACAAGGCTAGGAGGAAAAATCACCCTAAGGCCTCTAACACAGAAATTGTGAATATAGGTTCCTTTTTGAACTCCTAATGTCTACCTAGCACTTTACAATGGGATCACGGGATTTACATATTTAACTCCTACAGGTCTGGAGATGCACCTCAGCAGCAGAGCCCTTACCTAGCATGTCAGAAAACCAAATCATGATTCCAACTAACTTTCCAGTAACCTAACCTCTTTATTCTGTTATACTGACTTCATGTGCACTTTATGTGAGGAAGTACATTTATGAATTTCAGGTTTGGGCTGGGAAGGTGGCTCAGAGGTAGAGTGCTTGCCTTGCATGCATGAGGCCCTGGGTTCGATTCCTCAGCACCACATAAGCACCACATAAGCAGAAAAAAAAGCCGAAAGTGGCACTGTGGCCCAAGTGGTAGAGCGCTAGCCTTAAGGTGAAGAGCTGAGGGACAGTGCCCAGGCCCAGAGTTCAGGCCCATGACTGGATCCAAAAAATAAATAAATAAATAAAATAAATTTTAGGTTCAAGGGACCTGAAAATATATATATACATACATATGTATACATACATTTATATAAAATCTTGATAATATCAAATGTTTCCTAAAGTAGGAACTTTATAAAAATTTTAATCTAATCCAAACAAAAGCCTAAATGTAAAATACTGCTCAAATCCATAGAAGTTACAGGGAAGAAATCAAAGATTTTTGTATAAAT